AAATCTGGACCGGGGAACAATGTCGGATGACGCGTATAAAAGACGCTTGCAAGGTCGAAAGTGGTTTGATGACCATCATTGAGACGACTTGATTGATAGCAGGGTTGCAGCGATGAAAACAGTTACTTCGAGCAAAACGGCCTGAAGCATATGCTTCTGGGGCTACTATAATCCAAACCATGTTGGTAATTCTGGTGAATACAAGTTACTTCAGAATTTACACGTGAAAAAAGGGTCAGGTCAGTATGCAGTCTGTGTTTCATCCCTTAGCTGCAAACACAGGCAGAGCATTTTAGATGCGATTAGTGGTAGGAGTCATTAGTACAGCCTCCCACTTGCCACGCAAGAAGCATATTTTAATAAGCAGGACAGTAACAGAGAACGATGTGCATCCAGGTAATGAAGAAGCCGTGGGAATGACATTCTGCTGGCACATCTTTAGACATTCAAAACAGTGTCGTCATTGTCCGCATTTTTATGCATTCATCCTAACAGAGTGCCTCAGTTATTTGTATAGCAATGCCAATTTCTGCCCTTAAAAAAATTTTTTTAACGAAAAGTGAGTTTTTGAAAAACTCACAATTAATTTCGAACTCATTTCTGTATTTGCGAAACATCTTTTTAAGTGCTTGTTAGGTAAAAGCTTTTCAATACTGAGTTATATATTTTTTTACGAAAATGAATGCCCTGGATACTTACAGATTTCGAAATTTTGTCGGGATGAAACGAACCTGCCCAAGAAAAAGAAGGCATAATGCCTGCCTACATTCTTCCAACAATTTGTCAAAGCGGATGCATCGCGTGGCTTTTTTTTGCCGTGGAAGCCTTTTCCATGATTTCCTCTTTTTCAGTTCAAAAAGCGCCCTGTATCAGTAATTTTCATTTCGTTTTTTAGAAAAAGATGTTTTAATTTTTGCCATTTTGAGTGCTTGCTGTGAAAAAAAAACACCTTTTCACTCGAAATTCTTAGTTTCGTCAGGAACTTCTGCCCGTCGTTTTTGTT